TTGCCAGATGGACCCTTGCATCCACATAGAGTCCACCCAACACTTGTTTTCGTGCATTTGTCGGTTTTTCTTATTACATAACCAGCCCACCTATGTTCCGCTATCGAGATTCAATCTCCTAGAGCTCAAAGATGGAATCAACTCCGAAGATCAACTTCGAAAATCTGAGCTTCGTTTTCAAGCTAGATGTTATATGTGCCCGCTATATTTCAGAATACATCGTTCAAGTGCTTTCCGAGTGGTGCTCGGTATTCCTAACATGGTTAAAGTAACAACATACCTCTTTGCTGCGTACCAAAGCGTTGGGAAGACCGCTGAGTCGAAAAGGTGAAATAGGGAAGTGCTGTAACGATATCCACAAAACACTATTTCAATACAACCACGGTGAAGCTGAGATGCTTGCAAAACACCGGACCACAGGTGCCTGCGGTGGGAACCGAACGCGCTATTATCTTTTCCGGGGGCTAACACGTTCACCACCACATCATGACGTTCCTTCGTTTCACTTTTCTCTCAGCCAGTTTTCTATATATCAGTGACATCGGAAATCACCCGGGAGTTAAAACTAGCTGAGAGAAAGAGTGATAGCGCGTTTGATCCCACCGCAGACACTTGCGGTCCGGAGTTTAGCAAATGCTTCATCTTCAGTGTGGTTGCATTTCACATAGCACCCTGCTGTGAAAAATTGTATCAGGCGATAAGGTAAAAAGATAACTATGTCAGTAATTGCATAATCGATAATGGACCATTGACTTCATCGGTGTATTTCTATTTCTTCTCATTTCCGCTGGAATTCTGGGAAGTTGTCTAGAAAAATGCAGCAATTGTAAGCAGCTGTGCTTCCGTTTCCCATTGTTTCTACGGCTCCGAGAGCAATGTTTTTAACGTAAAGACTTAACGCACATTTTTCTACTAAGGGCCCTTAATCTTGCCGAAGTTCCGTTTACTTTGTTCCGCATATTTTGGCCGTTTGTAATGACGGTGGAAATACCGATAAGGCGGTAATGAAGAGCCCTTAAAAGGTGGGTTGCGTTAATGAAATCACACTCTGATGGTAATTCGGTTGTACAACAGGAAGCCTGCATCGTTGTATTGTAGAGATGCCGAAGAAGCCCACATCTTGGCCGACAACCACAAGCAGAAGTTAATTCATATGAACGTTGTCAAAGATTTCTTGTAGTCTACAGTGGTTAGCTAGAACAGTTATTGTTCCAGCGCCTCATTTTGGGTCAGTAGACTCATCTACCCAATGGCGTCACCTTCTTGCCAAAGACACTAAAAGTAAAGCAAGTCGTATAAAAAGTGCGCTATTTTCCTTACCCTTTGGAAGCAGTTCTGGTTCGCGGCAGGAATAAACCATGCAATCTGTTGTCCATCATACATGGAATTTTCAGGAACAGGGTTTTCTCCTAATTTATTCATCCTCTCATCCTTTTCCTTCTTTTTTAGCTTCTTTGAGTAGGTCTTTGTTTCACTCATGGAAATGATTATGATTATCGACTTTTTCATGGATGTCTATCGTCGATGTGATCGTCCCCATGCAGCATTCATCAACTTTGGCTGTGGACTGCGATTGACTTGAATCATCACGGTTCTAACGAAGACGAAGAGGTCTAAATATTACTGGAATAAAGTTTTATAAAGTCTCATATAAATTCATGAATAGAGCAAAATATTGTTGATTAATTTGTAAAATTGATTTTCAATAAACCGAAAGAAGACGAAATCGCAAGTTCGTCAGCCAACGTTATTTAAGAACGAGTGCTAGCAACCTCACGTTAGTTCAACAGGGTTGTTCGTAAGATATTATTGGTCATTGATTGCGTGGTTAAATGAAAGCCTATTTACAAAGCTCTCGCTTACAGCGTCACTGAAAGTTTGTGATGATAAGAGTTGAGAATAAGCAGGCTTTCCAGAGATATCCCGTACACATCGATAAATACGCAGTTTATGATCGCATTACCCGTTCTAGTGCCACGGACACTTATATACGTGTCTTCTCAATGATATTTTATGACTATGTACAGCAAAAGAAACCTCTTCATCCCTCACATCAGCAACACTTTTGTCCAGGCTCTCATTTAGGGCTAAAAAAATTCCCCGATGAACAGTTTTTATAGCATTTGATGTGAAGGGAACAGTTTTTTGGGACAATACCTCGTCCGTTTTGGAGCAGCTATCAACACTACGCAAATGCCATAACAAGAAAATTCTGTGTGGAAAATTAAACGGCAAAGTAGACTACGCATTGTACTCAATGCATGTTGTTAAGAATCTGTTAAACTGTCTTCTTCTTTGATTGCCGGGTTTTATGAGCATTATAGTACTTATGCTTCTACAGAAGCAGTCACCGAAGCTCTGGACAGCCAGGAAGTCCCTACTCAATATATAAGGTTCTAGGTGAGCTATATAAACATTTCGCAACCAAATTATCATCATTCTACAGCGACATTAACATCGAGGTCAAGAGAGGGGTTAAAAAAGGTGATACAATCTCGGCAAAAATATTCAACGCCACCCTCGAGTACAGCATGCGAGTACTGGAATAGGAGAATATTGGAAGTGATGGCCGGTAGTTAGTTATGCTATCTTCAACGTTAACTTTTTGATTTACTGCGTACTACAATTTTTACGGCAGAGTATTAAGCGAAATCAACCACAATTATGTTGAAATATTTGTTAAACTCCGTAAGACAGGTATCTGCGGTGGGGATCGAACATGCTATTACCTCTTCCGAGAGCTAACGCGTTCATCACCAAACATGCCCGTCCTTCGCTTCACCTTTCTGTCAGCCGGTTTTTTATACTATCTTTGTTTTGCTGATGACATCGTCCTTATAACATTAAACATTGGCCAAGCGGAACGAATACTTGCCGGCTTTGATAAAGCATGTGGAAAAATTGGTCTTCGACTAAATCTCACAAAAACGATGTTCGTGAGGAACGGATTGGTTACGTATACCCCATTCACGCTCAACGGAACGAATATCTCCGAATGCTCCAGTTATATCTATTTAGGTCGGAAAATCAATATGATGAACGACCTAGCTCCAGAGCCGAGCAGAAGGAAACGAGCGGCTTGGGGAACTTTCAGGAGCATCAAGGATGTAGTGAAGAGAACAAAGAACACCTGACTCCGTACCTACCTTTTCGACTACACGGCTCTTCCTGCGTTAACAGTGTGCGTCAGAAACCTGGTTGCTGCGCAAGATGCAAAGATGCAAGATCATTCAGCGTTATGGAACGCGCAGTCGAAAGGACGATGCTAGGAGTATCCGGTTTCACACAAGTAAGGGATAGGATCCGAAGCTCCAACCTGCGTCAACGATCAAAAATCAAACATGCCGTTCTGTACGCCAAACTGTCGAAGATAAGATGAGCCGGGCAAATCATGCGTATGAACGACAACCGATGGACAAAAGTCGTTAGGGACTGGATTCTCTGGGATGTCAAATGTACTGCAAGAAGACCACCAATGGTCAGAGTACTTCACGAAAACCGTAGAAAAAAGGTATGATGTTTAGCGAGTCCCTAAAGCGAGCAGAACCCTCTGGACTACCTGCACGTGCCGGGAAAAATGATAGATTAACGAGCGCCTGCTCGAGTCGCTCGACGATTAATAACGGGCAGGTACGACAGGTGATACAGGTGTCAGGTGAAACGGTGCTTCCTTTCACGATTTACCGTCTCATAGCGGCTGAGAGGCGTGGGTGTCGGTCTGCGGCATGACTTACACCGGGGGTTCATCCCCATGACAGGGCCTCCCAAGTTGAGAAGCACTCAGGGCTTTCCGTCAGAATGTCCAGCTAAGAGTGAACCAGTACTAAAATTAGCTGCCGCCTTGGTAGCAAATTAGCTGGCTAGAGTGGTAACTTCCTCGGGAAGGGTACAGCTAGGCTAGTCTGGTGCCTCCAGGAGAACACAAGGGCGAAACCAGCAAAATTTTGGCCTCAGTGTCCAATGCACAGAGTGTTGCCTTTCCGTCTACGATGTGGGACGCTAAGACAGTCGGTAAGAGGCGAGCAAATCTAGGGTTGCACAGGGCGTTGTTTGAAAGGGAGAAGAAGACCAAGCCCACGACACGCATGGTGAGTGTTTCCTGCTTTGCACCTCTAAAGCAGGAAGACCGACATACGCCAATGAAAGCACGTTCAGTCGAGCAGAGAAATTTCCGTTACGAAATTTTTAACGCGCTGACTTTGTTGTGCGCCCATCTATTTCCCATCTAGCCACCTCATACGAAGACCTACCACCGCGCTTCGCCATTCTTCGTCTCGAACTTCTGTGTTGAAGAGAAGTTAGTATCATCAGCTGCTACTGCTCAGCAACTTATACAGCTGATGGGGCGAACTGGACGCGTTTTCCAATCAGTTGGAGGAACTAATCCGCAACGAGAGGTTTTTTTATAAATTCGTTTTAGGATGCTTCAGTGACGCATTAGGAACGACCAATGAAAATGAACATAGGGCGCACGAGCATCGTGCCAATTTTGCTCCGGGCCGACCAAGCCTCTCACCCTCCAGCGTTGGGAAATTGGTACCGATCTTGTCTGGGAAAAAATCACCCTCTGAAATCCAATCGGGAACGTTCCAGCCCTGTTATCTCAGGATTCCAGGGAGAATTGCTCGACCAGCATTCTACAACATTAAAGATGAAATGAAAATCCTCACGCAGCAAGTGAATTCACACGTAGAAACTTGGAAGATCTTCGTCGATAATGGATACGAGGAAACAGATCGAATGTGAGAAGTGCTGGGATCCGCACAGTAGACGTGAAGACGGGTCATACAAAGTAAAAAAAATTATCCATTTTTTTGCTTGGAGATAAACAATGCATTCGTGAAATGTTTTTGAAGTTTCGTTGTAGAGCCAATCCGCATAAATTCGGTCGTATAGCTGAAACCATGGAAAGTGGCGCAGAGACTCCTGAGCCATTCCATGAGCCACTAGTTGCGCTGAAACGGAGGAAAGCGATTCTGCCACCAGGTTTTTAAATCGTACTGTTCATTATCTTCAATACTTTTGAAACGTACTTTTGTAGCGCTGTTGGTTCTCATGCTGCACTATCGTTATGCTCATCACAATCTTCTGTAGTTGACGCTACACCTCGAGACGGATCCACTCCATCCGCACTCCAAGTAGATTCTTCGAAAATGAGCAGGTAGCTGTTTTCAGTGAGCTTTGTGTGGTTCTATATCATTTACATTGAACTTTGCATTGAAATTGCAACTAATTCTTGTAGCTTTTCGGTGTCGGCTCCTGACCTTGCAGTGGCTCGACAACGTCAGCAGTCAAGTGATACCTTCGAGATTCATAAAACGGTAGAAGAAAATGAGGAGCAGGAAGGCGAGGATGAAGAAGAAGAGGAAAGGTAATGAATTTTGTGGTCACCTTCTGTTGTGACTCACTTTTTAAAATCTGAACAGTTTCGTTTAGTAATGAGAAAGTTAACTTTGCTGAAATGATGGTTGATGCTCTCAAATATTAGAAACATCGGATGATGCACAAGCAGTTGAGTAAGCAGGATCCTGACCGAGACGATGCTGTATGGATCACATCTAAACCGTGTCACCAGTCGTGGAAGCCTGTGGAGAGTGCCGTCTGCTTCTTGTCCTAACTTTCGTCGACAACGAAAAAGCGTTTGACAGCGTCGAAAAGAGTGCAATCCTATCAACGCACGTCGAAGGAGTGAACCCGTCCCATAGGCGAAATTAGTAGATTTTTACTGGAACTGCAGCACAAATATGCAGCTTTTTCTAACCGTACCTATAGGGGACTGCGGATGGGTAGGACGAAGACCTAGTTTATGAAGAACCAATGGTGCGAAGGCGTACAAATCGAAATAGTCGGTTCGCTGCTTACAGAGACCACCTTGCACGTGTGCCTTGAACGTTCAGCGAACATTAAGAGCAGCATAGAAGAGGAATTAAACAGAATAACGAGTTCGTTTTCGCTACTAACGCCAACCACCTTCATTCGCAGATGGAAACGGTTTTAGGAATTCAGAGTGGGCTTCGCGAACGTCATCACTTTTGAAGCAGGCGACCACCATGGACGACTACTGCGCGATACAGAATTGAAGTTATGTTAGGGTCGCACCACTACTGAAGGCGCGCCATCCAAGCATCCAAATAAGTATATACCATTGTCTTCAAGACTTATGCTATCTCCAGCATCTATTCCATTCGCTTCCTTGCCCCGAAATCGTCGCCCACACTGGTGGTATTGATTCAATCATGGTGGCAGATGCAGGCATCATACCGTGTGATCTGTAATGAAACTGTAGTTGTGAATATAGCTGATTGACTTCGGTTACGAGCACAGGATCACCCAACGTGTAGGTGGTCACCCTAGAGGGCGTGCCTCCTCGTAGAGCCCAATCTGCAGTTTTTTTCAAACTGTTGTCTACTCATCTCATTATATGACTGGCGCACCTATTTTGCGCTATGGATGTACGCTCTACTGGATATTGAAACTGAGATAGATTTCGAAGACCCCAATGGCCCTGGACAAGTTTGGATGTGTTTCGTGCAATGAACTCCCTGTCGGAATCCTGCTTGTTTTACCTGGTTGTGCATTATTCAGTGTCCTTGTATGCGCTGCAGAACAATCTTCTTGAAGAGGTTGTAGAATACACTCAACAAGCATATCGACGATAGTTATGAAGATCTCTTCTTTCGATCTTCTTAGGTAGGATGATCTTCTTTCTTTGGTCTGGGAAATTTTCCTATTGAAAGTATGAGTTATATAGATCGCGAGAAGTGCATGTAAATTGTGGCTTCCGGCACCAAGAAAGTTGGCGGTGATATTGTCGTGTCCTGGAGCTGTGCATTCTTTCACGCTTTCTATCCCAATTTAAATTTCAGAGGGAAGAATTCCGGGTGGTTTTTCTCCAGCGGGATTTTAAGATCCGGGATCGGGACTGCGGAATAGGAGATTGGTGTAGAACTTTTCTAACATCAATTCCATAAATGGAGAGAAGATTTAATGATCCCGTGCTTGTTCGTAAGTGCTGGTAGCGGGACATCACACTCGCAAAAATCCGAACGGCATTTCTTCAAACTGGTTCTTTTTTGTGCTGCTTTTAAGTGTTCTTTTTTCCCGTGCCGATTTAGATTTTCCCGCAAACATTTCTGCGACTAGCATTCAATACTAGTCGTGTTAAATGTGGTGCAGTAAGAATAAGCTTCAGTTCCCTTCTCTTCGAGAAATTCCTGAATAGTAATGGAAATGCGATCATATCTTCTTGCTTGAGGAATTTTGCACAACTTTAAGTCCTTTGAGAAGCAACTCGTAGTCCACGGTCGGGTCATTTTTTATCTGCCCATCACGTTTGAATAGGTTTCCATTTAGAATGTGTTCTTCGTCTACTGCTTGACTTTGTCCTCATGGTCGATGACATAAATTCTTTTCCAGCTTACGGCTGAATCAAATCTTGTCGTGAAGAAGGCGGTGGTCGGAACTATTACAGGATGACGGAACTACCGATATATCAAGTAGGTGCCGTCTTCTGTTTGTCAACATGATCGATCTCGGTAGGAGTCGTGCCTTTAGGAGAATCCCATGTCCAGTGGCGGCTTTCTTTCTTCTGTAAAAACGAGTTTCCATGAAAAAAAGCGTGCCGCAGACAGGAGTCCAGAAATACTGTTTCCTTTCCCGTCTCTTTCTTCTAATCTAAATTTTCGGATCCTGTATTTGATCCCATTGATTTTCCTATTTTGGTGTTGAAATCTCAGGTAACAAATTTGTAATACGGTTCATTAGTGTGGATAACTTCTTCCATATGGTAGAAGAACGCATCGAATTCGTAGTCATCAGCTGCGTCGGTCAATGAGTAGCAGCTGATGCTGGTGATCTTCTTATGAGTAAGAGGGAGGACGGACATCTGCGGCGAGAGGATCTCGCAGAAGTCGACAGGATGGACAATGGACGGGTGGACGACAAAGTCTACGCCACCGTTGTTTCATCACAGGACCTTTTTTCTATGGACCACAAGGGTGTACACCGACCATTTGGAATTGGTTACGGTCTGCGGCTTCAAGAAAAGCGTGAAGATCGGCGATGGAGAAGTCCGTTCTTGTATTTCATCATATAAACTAAGAAACAATCTCCATGATGTGTCGTGCGTGTGCTCGCCAGATCTCGTTCCAGTGAAGTCCTGTGTAACCAATTTTTTGGCCTCAGCGATCGTCTCACCACTGGGCGTTGTAGACGGAAGTGCCGAGGGTGCGGTGTAGCGAGGCTGGCCCACCGCTGGTTGGGAAGCTTGATCCTCCGTGAAGTTCTGACTTAATCTTGCAAGGGCGTTTTCAGGTTTTCACCACCTGCTGGATACGAGGGAGGTATCCTTTCGGTAACGATTACGTCGTTCCGTTCTCGTATTAGTGGATTTGAAGGCGATATTAAAACTGGCATCAAAATGAAAGTAGGAATGAAAAGACGACCGTACCACTTAATGACGACAGAGAAGCAGAATCCGAACAATATATAGAGAATTCTTTAGCTTCTACGTACTGCCTATTTTTCTTCTTTGCCAGGGCTGGATACGAAATACAATCACAATGATGCTGAGATATGAGCAAAACACGGAACTTCAGTTGCATCTCGAACCAACGATTACCATCTCCGAGAGCTCACGTGGTATCCACTGCACCAAGCGAGGTCCATGGTTTGTCTTTCTCTCCGCCAGGTTTAAGCAGCTTCAGCTGGGTTCAATGACAATTTATGCTACCCAGATCAATCCCGTTGATGGATGATTGCTGATAGCATCGACAGGTTAAAAAACGGCTGAGAGAGTAGCGAAACGAAGGACCCGCGTGATGTGGTGGTGGTGAACACGCTAGCCCTTGGAAACGGTAGCTGTGTTTTCGAAGCGCATCTAAAATTCCGTATTTTGCTCATACCTTAATGTATAAATAAAATTATACGTCAATATGCACATATATATATATATATAACCACAATGATGCTGAGATATTTGTATAACTCCAGACGGCAGGTGTCCGGGGTGAGGAACGAACGCGCCGTTACCCTTTCAGGGGGTTAAAGCGTCCGCCACCACACCATGCGGGTCCTTCGTTTCGCCTGTCTCTCAGCTAGTTCGTTTTTAAAGTATAAGTTACCTTTTAAGTTCTACGTATATACAAGTATATATGTGTATATGTAAAATTTAAAAGTGGTGAAACTTCTCCAAGAGGGCTTTGCGCTTATTTCCTCTTTCATTCGTATTCTTTGTGAAGATCTTCAACTTGTCCATGTGCTAGTGCTGATAGAATAACACCAAAGAAGCAGGTCCGTACCCCCGTGTTCCTTCCACCAGTGTCGACTTTGCAAGTGTTAAATCCACATAGGCCTTGACAGTTGTTGAGTCGTAAGGTTTAAAAATATCTTCAAGCCAGCAACTTGCTGGACTGACGGCTTGACTTTAGCTGGATTTCGACCCAAACTCACTTTTCTATCCATGTCCCTCATTTTTTAACGTGCTCCCAGTCGACGCTACCGCAGTTCGTCTTTCGCTACGGTTTTCACCTCACGTTGCTCCAACGTACGCGTCTGCTGTTTAGGAAATGCAAACCCGTGCGGCGCGCTGTTCTCATCATTCATGAATGTAGCGACTTCCAGTACTGTCAGTGTTTCTTCCCGTCTTGTGGGTGTTGTCGATGGATTGTTGAGTTGTTCGCGGACCATTAGTCTTCTCTTGGTGGGTTGTTCATGCTTATCCGAACAGAAGCACATAAAGTATTGATGAGAATCTAAGATGGCTAGAAATATTTCACTTGACCCTAACTGACGAGTGCTGGTCGTAGTTCTGTGTTTGTCCTCCACTACCTTCGCTTTGCGGTAATCGTTTCCGTACATGCATGTCGTCTGTTACTAACCAGGAAGAGGATTGGATTCTTTTTCCTGCTGAACTTATTTTGATGAGATTCGAACTCACGCGAGGAAACCCCCAATGCATTAGCAGTCCATCGCCGTAACCGTTCGGCCACATGATCCTACTCATTTTGATGTAGAATACACTCCACACTCCGTAAGCACATGTCTTTCCCGTAGACTTGTTAGGGATACACATGAACGGCCAGAACTTCTGTTATGTCTCCCTGGAAATTCGCAGTGTACTTCAATAATTCAGTTCAATTCGTTCATCTCCATTTATTCCCGTAGTGTTTTCCTTGCTACATTTATTTTCATCATCGCAGTACATTTTTCCAGTGTTTCTTTCGGAGTAGCATATCGAGAGAGTTTTATTGTTTAGGCCCGTTCGGCACGGGATGACGAGGATCGACGAAAGAGCTGGCGACAATACAGCAATGGACGCCGTGGTAGCGAAGAAAGGCAACGATCGTGTTACTCTGAAAGAACTGAACTGTCTGATTTCCGACGTACAAGAATATCCATTGAAGCTTGACAGCAACTGGCTAGTAGTTCCTCGTTTTTTAAGCTTTTTGTCCTCATGTGTTCTGATTTCGTCATCGTACGGAGGAAAAGGTCATAGTTGTCCTAACATCATTTTCTTTGTATTTAATAAGTCTTAAGTTTGTGTTCCAACTCTAAAACCTTTTTCCAAGTTGGATATGTTTAGGTACGTTGTAAGCAATATGTGGTGGTCGAAAGTGCTGGAAGCTGCCAGGCAAGGATACGTTGAGGATATTCCACCCATCGACAACTCCTCGATTTCCTACAAATGTAGGTGACTTATGAAGTGTATTCCGTCATATTTGCTATTAGGATTAATACTGGATTTTTACCCACAGTTTTCTATGATGGCACAATTGAAAACGTAATGTGCTGTGAGGTCGCCTGTGGCGCAGTAGTCAGAGGCGCTCTGCAATACACATGGGGTCTGTTCACACGCCCCTTGGCCATCAAGCCTTCCATCCCTCCGGGGTCGGCTAATTGGTACCAGACTTCTCTGGGAGGATAACAGCACTAGCTCGATACATCGTTAGGCCACCGCGAGTCATTGAAAAGGCATGGTGTGAATTCAATCACCTCCAAACGATGCTTAATGAAGTCGAATGCATGACGTATCGCAAAGGGGTTGATCAACCCCGAGAACTTTATCCTTTATCCTTTTTATAGTCTTCTGTGATATCCATTAACTCAAACGTAGGTTACTAAATTACTGGAAATCGAATGGTCGTATTTTGTAATCTTATTTAATTATACAAGAATTATGGTCGTTCGTGGAGCCACTTGTGTCAAGGAGTATTTCAACATATTGACAATGATGACAGTTCTTTTGAGAACTTTCAGTAGTTTTTGGGTAACTTTATTGCTTGAGGATTTGACAGGCTTGTAGACCAAACTCGAACTTTTAGAAGATTCGAAATACGAAGCTAGATTTTATGAATTTTAAATGCGGTCTTTGCGACATCATACAGCATTGGTGTGTTTAGTAGCATTACGAGAGATCTGACTTATTTAACCCCTTAAATGTTTCAAGTACTACCTCAATGACAAAGACCAGAACAAATACGGTTTTAGAGTTCTGTAAAACCAAAATATTTCATGGTAAAAGGATAAAGCTCTCGGTGTTGATCAATCCCTGTAGATGCTCCATCCATTCGACTTGATTAAGCATCGTCTGAGGTGATTGAATGCGTATCTAGGCTTTGCAGTGACTTCCGATGGCCTACCGATGCATCGAGTCAGTGCTGCTATTCCCATAGACAAGTCTGGTACCGATTTACCGACCTGGAGGGATGGAGGGCTAGGTGGGCCTGAAGCGCTGGGATCGATCCCATCAGTATTGCAGGGCGCCTCCGACCACTGTGCTACACGTGGCCTTGTGTCATGGTAGGATAAGAAAACTTTTATTTCTTTGGTAAGTACACTATTTCATCATTAGCATCCAGCGAGTTTAGTATAGATATGATTATGGTGTTTGGAATCCTGAGGAAAAATTTGCATGAAATTTTGGGGTTTGTTTTTATGGACAGGGAAAAATACCGTTGAGGTGAAGAACATTCCATGATGTCTTGCTTGAAGCGTTTGTACAGAATTCGTGGGAGCCCTACTGGAATTTTAAGTTAACATATAACACCCGATGTGAATGAGTTTTAGTGACTGCCTACAAGTTCAAACCACCGTATCTTGGTCATAGTGGACTTTCTTAACCAATAACTCCCCGTTGCCGTATTTCATCGTTGGCCCAACTTATTACGATCAGTTTTTCATCCGCTGTGGAGTTTCTGATTCTTTGACAATAGGAAATAATTTTTAATAACTAGAGTGCTTTAGGGGTTGTGAACATGACAACATTGTAGAAGAGACTTTGTTCGGTTGTTTTGTGGGTATGAACGATATGTATGTTACTGTTAGGAATTTTAAGTATTTTGCACCCTGTGTTCGTCCACACATTCCGTACGATGACTGTAGCAGTTGAAATCAAAGAACAGTTAATTGTTAGTCAAATTATCGGTCAATGAACTTTTTGGAGCAGGGTCTTTGTAAACTATTTCGACCTGCTTTTCATGATGTAACGAATGAGTATTCATATTGCGGTAAAAAGAAAGCTCTGCAACTCACCAAACTAAATATAGACACAATAGTGTTCATATAGTCTTTTTGTCCGGTTTGCTATGAACACTGTATTGTCCATACGGGGCACGATTAAGATAGGACTATGGGCGCTTTTAATGTAGTGGTAAGGGGAGCCCTTTCATGCACACAAGATCGGATGTCGGTACAGTACCTCTCCTGATTAACAAGTCCATCCTAACTGGGTCGGCAAAGTGTTACCAGACTTGTCTACGACGATAGCAACATTGATATTCTACATCAGTAGTAGGTCCACCGCAAGTATTGTATAGACCCATGCATGCATTAATCTTTACGATATTTAATAGAATGGAATGCATAGCGCTGATAAACGCTGGAAGCTTTGTCCTTTAAAATTGAATTAATTTTTTCTGAACCTTATAGGACGTGTTCCTTTCATTTTTTTTGGGTCATGGTCTGTATCTTGAACACGAATGTGATTGAAGTGTTAATCGAAAAGGACACAGTAGTTTTACGTTGTGTATCGTTAATATCTATTGATTGCCGCGATAGTGTAGAGAATATCAATTCAAATTCCTTCTTTAATTTTTTCTTCACAGTTTTAGTTCTGTATTGAGATGGCAGTGCATAGAAATTGCGTTATACCATTTACGGTAAACGCGGCAAAGCAAAGCCTCTTCCGTCGACCTGTGAAGTGATTAACTCTTCAATATCTCTGGTAGTCGAAGGAAGGGTTGTTATCAATGTTGATCCTTAGGTGTTATGTTAACGTTAAATTTTAATTTAACAAACTGCAGTAATTACTATGTTTCGACATTACAACATCACAAAAATTTTTTTAAAATTGTTGTCGCGGATGTTGATGCTAGAGGGTAGTTTGCCACTTTTAGCTCGACATTTTAGCTGGCGACAGTTACTTTTTGCGTCCAAATCTCGCGGAGTCAATTGACTTCCATCTTCTTCCTGAACCAGTTTTCAACCGCTTGAGAGAGGTGTACGGTCTAGAACTGACCAGTCGAGACTACATCTGTCGCAAAGTTGTTTCAAAAAGTGGGAAACCTGTTGTCGAGGTGTACCCTCGGATCGTTATGGTAGGAAAGTCTGTCATTTTCTGTTTTCCTAAACAAATTCTCTATGTATTATATCATGTGGTCTAAAAGTAATTTTGCTGGTTCAGGTTTACCTAGCTAGAGATCCTTCCAGATACTGTGAGCTCCGTTTAACTGATGGCGAAACACTGAGTTCGTACTTCACTTTATTTTATAACTACGTTATCGTCGATAGATAAGAAGCGATTTAGTGGATCTTCGGAATCGTGCGTTGCAATCCCTAGGACTTTCTGAAGTTCCTTCCGATAGACTTCGTTTTTATATTGCCCATGGCGACAACTACGAATTAATACATATTACACTACAGAATGTAGATTCCTATTTCGATACCGCTCAGAAGGTAATGAGGTTTATAACATGTTTTCCTAACGCCGTTCGAGTAAGTTTTATTTTAGTTTTGGTTTTTTCCAGGTTTACATAGATGTTTGTGATCTGGATAATGCTTGGTCTATAAACCATGAAAGGCATAGGAATTCAAAAATCGATTTTGCTTCAAATTCGTTGTCCTCATATTCGTAAGTTCATTTTAGTATCATTTATGTCACGCTTTTGCCTTAATGTTGTTTTTTCCTTGACATTACCTGCACGTTGTGACTTTTGTGTGTAGCTTTAATCATTTAACAGCTTCAACCGTGTTGATTCCGTGTTTTATTAAGTTTTTACCGAAGTGAAAGCATACGTTCTCGACACTTCCTTGACATTTATGACCGGAATTTTGTTAAGTTTCGACGTCATGTCTCTTCGATTTAGTGACCTGATAATACAATTCTCAATACAAATACAGTTAAGCCTAGATATCTTTTGAATAGCCCATTTTTCACTACAGGAAGTGAGGAAGTAAGTCAGCTACTTTTAGTCTTAGCACTTTGAGCATCCTCGGGGACATTGACTCGTGAATAAGAAGTTGAGCACCATCAAATTAGAGTTCGGGACTAATTTTAGCCCACTAATCTTAGTTCCACTTTATTTGAGGTAGAATGCATAGCCGTCCCAGCGGTTCACCGCCTCATAGTGGCTGGGAGGTGTTCCTGGGTGTGGGGCTGCGATGTACAGCGGGGTCTCCCGGGCTGAGAAGGAGTCCGGTATTTCCATCAGGAACCCTAGCTAAGAGTGAATCAATACCAGGATCCACGACCATCCTCGTATCAAATTAGTCGCATGGTGGCAAATCTATGATCCACAAACGTTGCGACTGCCTGTGGTGGTGACGACCTGGGGTTGACTTTGGTCAGGATTCCGGCGAACCACAATGGCTAAACCAGCAAATCTCCGAAAAAATGGAGATTATGCTGGGGCCCGCACAACCACTCGGGACGGGCCATCCAAGTATCCAAGTAGTAGAGTGCGTAGCTGTTTTTGTCCAGGTGGTAAGGCAATAGTGAACAAGAAAACATCCAAAGCTTTTCATTTACTTAATGGACGTTCTCGAATTAATTTATGCTGAAGTGAATGATATTTTCACATATACTGCTGAAGGAAGAAAATACCCTTTCTTTCTTTTGAGTTTAGGTGGTCATGGTGGTCCATGCTATTTCGCACCTACCGATACATAACGAATTGGCGTTGGCTCTATGCCTTGATTACGTACATATTTCGCCTTCACTTGCTTCCTATCAGGTCCGTGGGTGGTATATATCCATTTCATTTCACTCATTATTTTGCTGCTTCCAGCCCACGGACCTAGTGCATAGTTTTATAACTGAGATGTAGAAAAGCACTAACAACTCGTATTGCCTATGGTCCGCGGGTTTGTCTATGGTTACATGAGATTTGACATGCATCCTTTAATGGGTTAGTAACATCGTACGTTTTGCAGCGATGTGGAGATTGTTATAGAACTCTGTTTCGATCCTCTTTTATAGGAAGGTTTGGGCGACATACGTATGTCTCGTAAAATAATTTTTGCAATCGCAGAAAGCAGATTTGATCCAGGTTTCGCAATTTTCCAGATGTCGGATTTTTTATGCTTCAACGTGATGGATTTTTTCCGCAAAATTCAATGTTTGAGTAGAAAAATATCTGAAACTGTTATAACGCTGTGGATTAACATTTTTCGCTATTGTAGTTGTTACTAAATTGATCCTTTTTATGCGGTCTACTGATAGTGACATAATGTAATTACTTCCGTGTTTCACGTAGCTCTCTTATTTGAGGCTTCATGACCAGTTTGTTGCATGGCTGCACGGAGTGTCGCGTGGTACTGGATAGGGACTTGAACATGGGAAAACAGGACAATATGTTTTCTATAAAGCTTATGTAGGTCTAGACTGTGGATTCTTTGACTCCGCAATGCGTCATTTACCAGTTAAATGCATATGTGTATGCCCGGAAAGTTTGGTTAGAGGATGATTGGGATTATGAGAACCGGGAGGCAAATATCCGTATGCTCACTTTTGGGGAGGCCGATAACTGGTCGTTAGTTTTCACTAGTTCTTATCAGTTTTCATTATCGGCGAACACTGCAAGTATTCGGTGAGTGTTTTCTGGGCAAGTCGAGTACTAAAAGTTACTTCGCTAACTTGATTAAAAAACATCAAATATCGTTGCTGTTTTAGCAGTGTTTTGGTGATGCTTCTAAAATCTCAGAGGCAAGGAAATCCATGAATGTGAGCCATACTTATATTGCGCATCCCTTTGCTTCAGAAGATTTTTCAAAATATTCGATTTATACTGCATTCATATTTCATCAGCTTAGTAAACATGCTTATAGTTGTTGCCATGAATTCCTAGAGCATGCTGAATCTTCTTCCTAACAATTGACGACACTTCCAGTTGATCCACCTCGTAGTGCTTTATCTTGTGAGCTGCGATATAAATTATGATTGAATCGTTTACTTCTCATCTATTTCCTTTATACTGCTTGTAGACTGTCTGGGTCTGCCACATCCAAGAAAAGTACCAGTGTTTACTAGTAACTCTTCCAACTTCTTAGTAATTCAAAAATTGAAAATATCACAATTTGACAGGGGAGTACGAGTTGAGATAGGAACGACTACTGGATACTAGCACATAAAGCCTGTCATACTTTGAGTGCAATGTGTTTGATACAAAAATAATGGCCGCTTGCAACTTTAAACCAAAATGTCTCGAATGATGTTGAATTTCATTAATTTTGGTTCAAACTACTAGTCTACGGATCGAAGTATAAGTTCTTTTCAAATTCAGCCTCAGCTTAACTAGGTCAATGCCGATTTGTGCTCCCTAGGTTAATTCCGTTGATTGTAGATGGCATTGGTAGATAGAAAACTAGCTGAGATATGCGAAACGAAGAGCCGCATGGTGTGGTGGTGAACACATTAGCCCCCTGAAGGGGTAGTAGCGTGTTCGTTTCCCACAGCAGACACATGCGGTCCGGCGTTTTGCAAATATTTCGGCATAATCTTGGTTGTATTTCACATGATATCCTGCTGTGAAAAATTGCCGTAGGCAGTAAATGAAGAGTTAAGGTATAAGTTTTTTTTGTTTTACTAAGTCGAAACACTGATTTTCTGGATCCGATCGAACGTAAGGCTCTCATTTTGAACAATAAAGAAGTTGAATAGATGGGATTTCGTCCTGAATGACGTGATGGCGTCTCTTATTAGCGTTAGTGCTTTCCACACACTTACATTGGGATTTTTTGTAGTTTAAATCTGGTTTCAATTTTTTTGTTGAACTTCGTTTCTAAATGAGTGTGACGATGACAGAATATTTCGTAAGAATTGCGCTTATGTTTTTAATCCTCGTTCTTTTATTTTATGTCCAATGTATTTAATTATATTTATTTTATTTGAAGAGTCAGCACAATGTGTTCTGCGGATCTTGATTTCCTAGCTTCTCAAATACTTCAGTAATTGAGATTTCATCGTCATTTCAAGAAAAACCGGCTTAGAGGATTGTGTTTTTATCAACTGCATTTCGAAATTGAGAAGCTTTATTTAGAAGTTATAAGACTCAATCATTAGGAGAGAAACCTTAGTATTGGTAAACTGTTAAAGTTGCTTCATGCTTGCTGAAACCTTCTTTGCTACTTTACGAAATCTGCTTGTCTGGTGGCGCATTCATTTCCTAGGATAACACGTAGGCTATGTTTTCAATTCGTTTACTAAGTATGCCTGCCCGAGATTCCCTTGTCATGGGTAGGATCGAATAGGAATATCAAGTTGTCAATGTTTAAACGTTTGCGCATCCTGCTTCATATTACTTTGCGTCGAGGATCTGGTGGTGTGAATTTGATTTGATATTCGGTCGTGAAGTGTCAAACGATTATTTAAACAAGGTGTGTTCACATGGTTACGAAACTTCCCGAAGTCCTGAGAAGCAAAGCAGAATACTGTTCGTGCAAGCGGATTTCTTTGGGCAACCCTTGCACTAAAAAGCAGAACCCTTTGAGTAGTTCAAGTGGTTACTAGTGCTTTGTAGATTTTGAGATAGTTCACTGGGTACTGAACGGAAAATTTTCAGGAATCCACTTCTATATTGCCCATATTGTCGTGGAGATCGTGATGTATTGTCTTATGCATGCTTTAGATTTAATATTGTAATAAGCATTTTTTCCTCGCTAGTTCTCGTTGATTTGGAGTGATACGATAGGTTCATTTCCTTTAGATTAGTTGCAACACACGGTTTGTATCTATGATTATTAAGTATCACTTTGAGCAAATAATTGCTTATTCTTCTCTAGTTTTTTTTTTCGCCTTTCCATTTATTTCCTTTCCAGTCACACGTGAGACCCTATCAGGGTTTTACATACGTATGTATTCATTTCAATTAGTTCAGATGAGATGTTTGCCCAATTCGTTGCTTCGGAATTTGCTATGTATTCGATTCTCTAATTATGGTCTTACAGGTTTTACGAGGGTTCGCGAGAAAAACAAGGTGTGTATGTAAAAGGAGCGTGTGGGCTACAGAATCTCGGCAATACGTGCTTTATGGCTTCAGCACTTCAGGTATGTGAATGGAATTGTGCCCAAAGAGGTAAACTGGTAGTGAGGATTTCAAAGTGAAAAAGAAAGCAGTGATCAGAAATGACTTCGCCATTTTTGCTACTTGTGTTGTTATCGATCAGTCATCTTAAAGCCCTTCTTTAGTGCCTATCGAACGTGCCAGAGTTGACAGAATATTTTCTGTCTAACAAATATATTGCCGATGTTAACAAGAAAAATCCTCTGGGAACTCATGGAGAGCTGGCCCGAGCGTACGGTGACCTTCTCCAAAGCATGTGGTCGGGAGAGAACAGCAGTGTCGTTCCACGCAGGGTTAAAGTAGGTGTTCTTGTATTTTCCTATTGATTCACTAACGAATATTGACTTATCTTCCCCATAAATTTTTTGTAATTTCATTGTCACTTTGGTTACATTTCTTGACTAGCGTAGTCGATGTGTAAAAATGGAAAACAGTATTTCTAATTTTTTTACATTGCTTCATTTTAACTACAATATGAGAATAGGGTTCCAGATGACTATTGGACAGTTTGCACCAAGGTTCAGCGGTTATGCTCAGCAAGACTCTCAGGAACTCCTAGCTTATGTCTTGGACGGTTTACATGAGGACTTGAATAGAATAAAGGTCAAACCGTATGTACCTGATGACGAAACTCTCGAAAGGCTTGAAGAACATGAGGTTTTTTGCTTCTGCAAAGAAATATTGTGTCTTTCTTTTATTACTTCCAGAAATGCTTCTAATCTAATTCATATCCCAACTTTCAGCAAGCTGAAAGGTCATGGCAAGCTTATAAAGCACGGAACGATAGTATTATTGTCGACTTAGTGCATGGTCAATTGAAATCGACATTGGTTTGTCCTGTATGTGCAAAGGTGACTTTTCGTTATATTATAAATTGCATAAACAACATATGTATGTATATACTCGTACGTATGTATATGCATGCATGTATATATACATATATATGTATAAGCAAATCTATCGTGAAGGTCAGCATCAAGTTCGATCCATTCTGCTTTCTGTCCGTTCCTTTGCCGCCAAAAGAAAAAGTGAGACAAGTTGTCACACTGATTTTCAACTCAAGACGACGTTGGGCAAAGGTATTAGGTTTATCCTTGGAATTTTATTTTTTACAGTGTTGTTTGGGTTATTTTTCGTGTTTTTTCGGATGGCGTAGGGTAGTGTTTTGTACTTGCCTTTGTGTTACCTTTATATGACTAAGTTTTCCCTTTGTTACCGGATCGAATTTCATTGGTTGTAATTTTTTTAACGTCTTGGAAGTTTCTAGTTTACAATCACAATGGCGAATTCTACAACTGTGCAAGACGCAATTAACACAATGAAGAATTCCTTGCAAAACGTTGGGAATGATTTTACGGGAGAGGTATCTTGAATTTATTAATGCATATCTTATGTAGGATTTCTTTCTAAAGGATCAGTTCTTCGCTGTTTTCAGATTATAGTTTATTCCATTGGTTTTGGAGAACTATCCGATGAAGTTCGATTACTGGACCCTGCAGAACCCATCTATATTGAAGACAAAAACCAATCCCTTTATGCTTGCCAAGTGGACCACAATCCAAATACTCATAAAGTAGTTGTGATAAAGTATGAAATTTTGTGGCAAGCATAACAATGAATATTTTACCATTGATAGTTTTTATTTTAGAAACCAAACACAAACTGGGCGGACTTTATCGTTACCAATGGTTTTCACTCTTCCTAGTCCTGATAGCCTCACTAGGAGGTGGTGATATTTTCTTTTGTTTGTTTTTACTTGATGACTATCTATGTTTCGTTCTTCGATAAACGACACAACATTGATGTTGCGTGATAGTTGCATTAGATGTGATTGCTCAGAAGCAACGCTGGTAGTCATGGTTTTGTTTTACTGACAACCTTATTCCTAACGAGGATTTTCAGTTTTCTCGCAAATCGTGTCTTGCCTTTTATCTCTGACACGTTTATGAAATCGTCTTTAGAGATGTGCCTAAATGACAACTCGAAGATAGGGGAAGAACGAGGTAGTAACTACATTATATTATATTTAATGGCTAACCCTGTGCAACAATGTTTCTATTTTAGAACAGTACAAACTGTTCGTTATGCATGGCGGTAATGCTGTGCCTTTTCAAACTGGTGATGAACCAGTCCCATTTACTGGTGGTATACAGATGCATACAGTGGTTTTTCAATGGAAATCTTCACAAATATTTAATCAGTACAAGGGAGCTGTAAGTTTCTGACCTAAAAAATCCTTTTGGTGATCCGATTTTCTAAATATACAATATGGTTGAGATTATTAGGTTGTTTGAAAATTAATTCACGACTTGTAATTTTTTTTCTTCAAGGCGCTTTAGTAATCTTTTTCTCGAACTCTGTACTGTCATGCATTATTTTAATTTTTTATTTACTGCCTACTATAATTTTCTCGGCAGAGTGTTATGCCAAATCAACTGCAACGATGCTGAGATATTCGCATAACTTGGACCTCGGGTCAGATCGAACCACGATTTCTTTTCCGGAGACTCGCGCATTACACACAGCGCCACGGACGCCCATGCTGATGACAACGTTAGGCAGAAAACTAGCTGAGAGATTCGCAGATCAAAGGCCTCCGTGGCGCAGTGTGTAATACGCAAACCCCCGTAAAGAGAAACCGTGGTTCGATCTAGCCCGGTGTCCAAGTTTTGTGAATATCTCGGCATCGTTGTTGTTGTAAGATATTACTTCAAAGTTCATTTTATGAACTTCCGCACTGCTTAATTGCATTGAAACATAATTTGCATTTTTAGTACTTTTCAAGGGTTAGAATTTCAAATGTCAAAGCAGTAATTTTGACAAATCTACTTCGAATTCAATCTCGGGCGAACATATCGTAGATGGCTCGAAATATTAATGAAGTAGGGGTCAAGGGAGTATCAACAACAACTGATCAATGCAACGTTGGTTTGAAAAATTCCGTCATGACAAATTAGACGTTGAGGGCGAGAATTGTTTTGCACGCTGTTCTGCTATTGACAATATTGAATTGAAGACTATACAAAACAAGAACTGTCTCCGAAAAGCTGCAAAAGAACTCGGTATACGCATCCGGAGCAGAGAGGCCATGCCGATACCGACCATTTGGTGACCTGCTGTTGGTTTGATCCATCAAAACTTCCGGGATCCAGGAGAAACGCGACGACGAAGTACTTCCAGCAAATCGACAAAATGCGCCATAACTTTCGTTGTTTTCGCCCCTAGTTAGTCAAGAGAGTGGGATCAATCTCTTTGCACGATAATGCGCCACCGCAAATAGCATAACAGACACTGCAAAGGTTGAACTATGTGGGCTAAGAATTTTCCTTTTCTGCCATACTCGGCGAACCTCTGTCATACCGACTACCACTTGTTCAACCAATTTCCTGTTCAAGAAATGCTTCATCAAATAAGCCGAGGTTGAAATTGCCTTTTAGGATTTCAGTGCCTCCAAAACTCTAGTGTATGCAAGCTGAATATATATATATTCGATTCCTGCTAGCAAATATCTGTAAATTCTAATGGTTCTCATTTCCACTAGTAACGCTTATTCGGGGCTGACATATGGCACCTCAGAAATACGCCTTCCAATTATCCTTTAGTTTCCGAACAGCTTAATATTTAGGGACAGAGGTTAAAGTTACAATATTTTCGTAAAAACTCCTTATCTATTACAGACCCATGTGGAAATTTTTAGGACTTGATTGATCGGGAGGTTTCTGTTTCCTCGCGGAAAGATATGCATCTTATGGAATGTATAGACCTATTTACGAAGCAGGAACAACTGGGCGAAGAAGATAGTTGGTGAGAAGCCTATCTTGGTTTATATAATGCACATGTATCAGGTATTTTTTCACAGTAATCTCATCAATTATTTGTTGTATTAAATTTTTCCTATTCACGTTTCCATTGAGTGGTTTCCAACTTGTTAGTCGTGAGGCTACGCGGAGCATTCTCAGATTCAGATCAAGAGTAAGCGCACACCGAAACGGCCTATTCCTATTCTTAAGACATAGGTGGATTCCCATCTCTTCTTTTTCAAGTTAATAAGTATCTTCTATATGTGTACCACGTGCTTACTTCTATGCTGATCGTATTGGAATAGTCAATTAGGTCTGGTGTGTGCAGTAAAATAACTGGAAACAATATGGAAAGTGGTTAGGAATCGCCTAAAAGAATCGTACTCATTTACTGTGGGGAAGTTTGGTAAGGTACGCCTGAGTATAATTTGGCCTCACAACAGAGCCCAGAAGATTTCTGGTGAGTAGTGGTTGCGGAAAACATTGAAAAGAGTTTCATTGTTAAGAAACTTAAAGAATATACTTCCCAGACTCTGATACGCGATCACCAACGAACAGTGGTGCTACCAAAATCTCAGGACCATTCTAAGACACCACCAATTTTTTTTTATTTTATGAGACCCGTTCTTAGGCTTAATATGCGAATCTCAGTACTTGCATTGGAATCTTTTTTTGAATCGATAATCCGCAAGGGTCGTTGAACTTTCCCCATGTTGTTATACCTTTTTATTTTCTGCCTACTATAATTTCGCGGCAGGGTACTAAGCGAAATACAACCACAACGTTGCTGAGATATTTACAAAACTCTGGACCGCAAGTGTCTATGGTGGGGAACGAACGCGCTATTGTCCTTTCCGGGGAGTAACGCGTTCGCCACCACACCATGCGGGTCCTTCGTTTCGCTTGTCTCTCAGCTATTTCTATCGACCTTTGCCGCAGCAATCACCCGTCAGCGGGATTGATCTGGGGCGCCCAAATCGGCATAGAACCCAGTTAAGCTGCGGCTGTAGTTGAAATGACAATGTTATACGTTTTTATTTTCTGCCTATTATAATTTCGCGGCAGGGTACTAAGCGCCTCACACGCCTCACACGCCTCAAAAATTCTACGCCTCACACTATCTATAAAGACTTGAACGATGCCTTCTGAAATATAACTTGTCCATAGAAAATTACATTGAAGTAGAATCTTCGAGAATTATCTCCTCCTCGAAATCTATGGAACACACGTGGGAAGCGAAACATATTAGTAGATGAGTTGCTCACGTAATGAAGAGGTGACGATATATAGACGAAGAGAAAACTAGAATGAATCGTAAGAGGATGCAGGGACCTTTCGGCGCAATCATCAACAAGATGGACGGCCATGTTTGTAACTGACGTCGACCGGCTGTAATCGTATTTTCCAATGAATTCAGTATGGATTAAAAAATGACGTTAGCAGACGTCACCATGCTCGAAAGAAACCACCACCATAGTAAACGATGGTGACAAAAAGAAACAAGTGGGGTGTCGGTTGAGAGGTGCATGACTCGTGAAGTAGGATTCTCATTAAAATCACAAAAACCCTGACTTTTTAAATCAGCCGTTAAATTTCAAAATTAGTTAATAAAAGCTAAAAAATTAAAATTTTACTGACGGGCGATTGCTGTGGCAAAGATCAATAGAAATAGCTGAGAGACAGGCGAAACGAAGGACCCGCATGGTGTGGTGGTGAACGCGTTACTCCCCGGAAAGGACAATAGCGCGTTCGTTCCCCACCATAGACACTTGCGGTCCAGAGTTTTGTAAATATCTCAGCAACGTTGTGGTTGCATTTCGCTTAGTACCCTGCCGCGAAATTATAGTAGGCAGAAAATAAAAAGGTAAAACATTGTGATTTCAACTACAGCCGCAGCTTAACTGGGTTCTATGCCGATTTGGGCGCTCCAGATCAATCCCGCTGACGGGTGATTGCTGCGGCAAAAGATCGATAGAAATAGCTGAGAGACAAGCGAAACGAAGGACCCGCATGGTGTGGTGGTGAACGCGTTACTCCCCGGAAAGGACAATAGCGCGTTCGTTCCCCACCATGGACACTTGCGGTCCAGAGTTTTGTAAATATCTTAGCAACATTGTGGTTGTATTTCCTCATGTTGTTCGGCTGTTGCTTGAGAATTGCTTTAGTTAACCTCATATTAGTCTAATAATCGAAGAAGGTATTGCATGAAGATTGTCGTCTCTCCTGTAAATGTCGTTGATTGCTAATCTATTTGATTCTCCTTTGGAGTCAAGAGATAACAGAACTAAAGCGTTACCAAATAGATTGACAGGAATGAGCTCTTTCCGGACAACTCTAGAACCAATTCTAGGCCCCAGGAGGGATGAGATGTTTGGTGAGCTTGCGTTAGAGTCGAATTAGCAGCGTGGTCGTGGTAAACGGGATCACTGCCACTGCGCCACGCACTTTCTGACACTGCCTAGTAAACGTTGTTCATGATATCGGGAGTGTTCCTTCGTGAATGTTATAGCAGTGGAATAGGGCCATTAGTGTCCTCTTCAAAACTTTTCATGAATGTGGATCCTTTTCAATAAAGTGATGCCAAAATTGGAGTCGATGTAATTTTTCTTTTTTTGGAATTGGAGTTCTATAGAGAAAACCATATCTTCTTCAACATCCTCAGTACCTAGATTCACCGCAGGAAAGCGTATTAAGCAATCCATACCAGGACCCACAAACCGGAATGAAATGAATAAGATGAGTGGTTATAACAATTTCGTTGTGCAACAATTTTTCGTGTGGTCAGACCATCGTCTCTTTTGTACAGGACTGTTTTTTTGAGCGACTCGTGAAAAATTGGAAGTATATGACTAACGAGTTCCAAAAACCATCACATATTACTTTTTTTGCTTTCTTCGCCGATTTTTGGGTAGACACTGTTCACATCTGTCACC